TACCTGATTTGTGAAACGGGCAGGGCACTTATTGGCGTGGGGTCCAGGGGGCCTGAATGTAAATGTGGGGATTCGTCATTTTCCAATAAACGCATACAAAAGTATAATTTATAAAACAGTGAGAAAAATCCCCATAAATCATGTTAATTCAGCAACATTGTTACATACATGATTGTATATTGAGGGATTTTGATATCGCTATGGGAGTTGAAATGGCAAATATCAGCTTGGTAAATATATAGACTATGTTGAAGTGACTCGTAATCTTGTAAACAAAAACTGTGTAAACTGTGCTTACATGATACCAATGGAATACAGATTTTTTTACAATTGTACATTTTGAAGGATATTATGCGAGGAAGGTTAGCGACCGAGCGAGATGATTTTAGCATTTGTATTAGTCTAAACGCTGCACTCTTGGGCCCTCAGAGCCTAAAAGTGTGTTGCAGTCTTAATTTTTAGTTAGTAATTGATAATTTGATATACATTTTTTGTGTGCACTTTTTAATTTTTTTTCCGGGGGTGACGATCCTACCAAAACAAATTGAGGGGGACGTGTCCCCCGGGATCGCCGCCCCTAAGGGTACATTCTATAATTTTGAAGATTTTTGAGCAAAACATTGTGATTTAGAGTATCAAACGCTTTTGACAAATCCATAAAAAAATCCCCAATACATGTTTTTTTTTTTTATTGGCCCTTGCATTTAATATCTTATCATACATTTGAACCCAATCTAGGTCAGTGGAATATGATTTTATAAATTCAAACCAGATTGGTTTAAATTCAGTATTTCGTGGTTATTCCAAAAATGTATATAACCTATTATAAATTGTTTTTTCGAGAACTTTTGATATGCTTGGAAGAAAAGAGAATGGTCTATAATTGCTTATTTCATGTGGATTATCTTTTGAATCTATATAATGAATGATGCCAAATGCGAAATTCACTTCCCACAATACTTTATTTTTAGCACAGTAATGCCTGATAGAGTGAACATGATCCATCATTTGAATGTGTGTGTGTGTGGGGGGGGGGGGGGTAGTAGACTGACTGACGTTATCATTAAACTCGAATATCATAATATAAGTTGACAGCCGTCCTGAATTCCACAATCAATTTTTGATGTATCACGGGACTACGCTGGATAACCTCATAATCACTGAGCCGAATATCGTCGAATGCTCGTCATTAAAGGTACTATGTTCCTTTTGCAGCCAACCTCAAATGCTATAGAACTTTGCAGGAATTATGAATATGCATGTATGTCCTATGTGTGAAATTTAAACGTTAGCAGTGTCCTCATATTCAAATTATGCAAGGAAACCCGTTTACTTGCTAGACTTCACTGTCAGACACTATTGAGTGACTGACTGGCCTTTTTTCTTCTTTGGTAATAACATACATGAAATGAGTTGTAAAGGGTACATTAGCATTTGTCTACATCAATAACCCACTTCTTGTGATGGCCAAGATTAAACTGATTGAATCTTTGCGCAGCATAAAACGTATGACCATTAGGTACAATTGTCTGAAAATCAAGACTATTACTTTTGGGCTCTATAGCCCTAAAGTCGATTTGACAACTAATAGTCGTTATTTTCCCACTTGAAGACATTTTCAAGCCCCACCTTTTATAGGGAAGTTCTAAATTAGTATTATCTTTCAAATGCAGTTGGAATTTAACTTTTCATTTTTTTTGGCCTGCAAATGGGACATAGTACCTTTAAAGTAGGCTGATAGGTTATCAACAGCACCATCGTCTCCTCTTTCTCGCAATCATCTAGGGGATTTTTAATTAAATCGAGTCTTTTGCCGTATTTGTAATTGGGTGAGTGTGGACATAGACAGGTCGATGGTAAGACGGTGTACCTGGTGTATTTTATATTTTTTCTTTATTGTCTTCAGAAAAATCCGTTATAGAGTTACACCTGTCTAAGTGGCCAGTTATCTCTATAAAGGCTATGTTATAGTGGCCATGTATTTCGTCTTCCTCGAGAGAGAAATGTGAGAGGTAGAACCTGTCTAGAAAGGTCACCTGTCCACAGAGGCTTTTTTTCTTCCTCTTTCCCTTGGGTGACTTTGATAAACAGGTTTTACTGTACATACTAATATCGTTAGGTCACAATAATATATCAGAGGTGATGAATGATGCCAGATTGCCCGATGATAACTCATAATTATTTTTGTGCGTTAGTTATGAACAAAACAATGTATATGGTGTATGATAAAATATGTTGTGGTGAATTATGATTATTTCAATAAAAATTAAAATAAGTGAAGTGATGAATTCTCTCTTGCGACCCCTAAGGAGCATGCTTTACATAGGTATTATAGGGTGTTTCACCACATGAGAGGAGGAATGAATGAGTGAACTCCGAGTTCCACTTCTTTCTTTGTTCTTCTTCCAATGAAAAAAAACTAGATCATAAAGACTTTCAAGAAATCAAATGGCGGGCAATATCAATACCATAATGGAGATAGAATACATATAAATTGTACTATTTGGATCTATCATGTTCGCACAAAATATATGATAGGAGACGCACAAAGATATTCACAGTGTTTTATTTCGTTTTATCTTGACTTTTTGTTGGGAAGTTTTGCAAACGTGAGAGAGTGAGATCGAGAGAGAGAGAGAGAGGATGAAACCCCGGAAAGAGGAATGGAAAGTGAGAGAGATCGAGAGAGAAAATGGAGGGGGTACAGGGGAGGAGAGAGAAGGAAATGGAGGGAAAGAGAGAGAGAGAGAGAGAGGGAGAGAGAGAGAGAGAGAGAGAGAGGGGGGGGGGAGCGAGAGAAAAAGAGAGGGGATGGGAGAATAAAGGAGAGGAAGGAGGGAAAATTGCTTCATTATATAAATTGTATAAATTGCTTCATTATACGGAGAGAGGCTACTAACGTCTTAACATAATGAACTGATCATTGCCTGGCGAAAATCATCCACGATGGAAGTGAGATCTCAACAACAACAAGAGAGGAAGAGAGAGAGAGTGGAAGGAGCGAGGAGGGGAAGGGGGAGAGAGAAAGAAAGAGAGAGACAAAGAAATAGAGAGAGAGAGGGGGAGAGAGGAGAGAGCGAGAGAAAAAGAGAGGGGATGGGAGAAAAAAAAGGAGAGGAAGGAGGAAAAATTGCTTCATTATATAAATTGCTTCTACGGAGAGAGGCTACTAACGTCTTAACATAATGAACTGATCATTGCCTGGCGAAAATCATCCACGATGGAAACGCCATTAATCTCAACAACAACAACAAGAGAGGAAGAGAGAGAATGGAAGGAGCGAGGAGGAGAAGGGGGAGAGAGAAAGAAAGAGAGAGAGAGAAAGAAAGAGAGAGAGAGAGAGAGAGAGAGAGAGAGAGGGGGGGCGGGGAGGGGGCAGTTGTACACAGTGCAATTAAGAATAGTCACACACCCTACATAACCCTCGCCATCCTTTCATGTGAAAACATCTCCCCCTAGTTGAACAGAGGATGCATGGAGTTGGTGTTTGACTGAGATTAGGGTACACCATGCCCCCGCAAACGGGTGAAAAAACGCAGAACTACAATGGATCACTGAAGGGCCACCCCATTTGAAGTATAATGCTGAATACACCGCCATGCAATGGCAGGTGTAGGAATTTCTCTGACGGAAAAGGTGGGGGTGCTAGCTTGTACAATATTATGTACACGGTATGATTTTTTTCCCATATAACCCCTAACTATCTTTCTGGGAAATAGTACGTAGTTTGGGCCTATCACTTTTTTTGTCACTCTCTCTCTCTCTCTCTCTCTCTCTCTCTCCTCTTTTTCAATAGGGACCGATAACTTTTTATTTCAGTGCTGTCGATGAGCACAATTAGGGGCATATTGTCGTGTTGTATTGCATCTGTACTATCAGATTTATTTTTATTAATATAATGCATTTCCCTGAAAAGCATACACAAGTTCGGTACTTGCTATCGACAAAGAGATTGGATCAAAAGATCAAAGACATTCGATCATACACGATCACGATTAAACCTTTGGTTTTTGAGAGAATTGGAAGGAACTATGGTTTTTCCTGTAAGGAAATAGAAAACATATTTTTAAGACTAAGACAGTGTACACTTAACAGTCGATTAAGAGAGTTTCAGTTCAAACTTATACATAATATATTATATACAAACCATCACCTCTTCCGTTTTGGTCTTGTCTCGACTAAGTTATGCTCATTTTGCGAAAAAGATGAAGAAACATATAAACATTTATTCTATACTTGTGAATTTGCACAATCAGTGTGGGGAATGTGCACGAGATTTTTAGACTTTGAAATACACAACTGTAGTTTGGAGGAAATTCTGTATGGGAAAGAGGAGAGTAATAAAGGAAAATATCAATTAATGAATCATGTTTTAATTCTTGTTAAATATCTGATTTATAGAAATAGAGAACTTAAAAAACCACCCTCTTTTAATGAAATAAAGAATAGTATAATAGGGGATAAAGTAGAAGAAAGGAAATTGGCTGCAATGAGGGGAACTCTCACTATTCATTTTTTGAAATGGGAAAACCTGAGTATTAGACAAACAATTGGAACCCAGAGCCAGTCGTCCACCGGTTAAGAGGGGGGGGGGGGGGGGGGGGGGAGGGGGATAAGGGAGAGGTCGGGTAGGGTAGGGTTAACAAAAAGAGAAAACTTTTTTCTCAGGACAACAGTATAAAAGAAGTATAAGTTGCTACATTGTTAAAACAAAAATTTTGGATTATATAACTGCATATGTTTTCTTTGAAAATATGAATTTTTGTGTCGAATATGATGTATAGGAACTAACTATGTAAGTTTTCTTTGAAGTCGTTTGTAAGACAAAAATTTATACTGATTTATAATGTCATCACATTTGCAGTGAGTGTTACATATGATGATTGTAATTTGTACTATGATTATAATTTGTTTCAAGAGAGAAAAGAATAAAAACTGACCATAAAAAAAAAAAAAAAATGTCCTCCGTAGATAGATAGTAAGTTACCCCATCTACGTTCGATACAGGTCAATCTTCCCGCGTTGACTTGAGTTGACTGTGTGAGATCTTCTTTGTTTTTCTCACCGTGAAACTCATCGAGGTGAGAAATATATTAATAATACACCACTTCTCATATTTCTAGCTCATAGAAAACCACAGATGCATGTTATTTTGCATGGTTTCCCTTATAACATGTTGAAAATGGATAGCAAATTTGTAATAAATTCGAGATGCAGACTTTGTTTAGTCCCATGGCTATATTTTTACGTTGTGTAGTTTTGTTATGAATACGAGTAGGACCCTAACAAGTTGGACCCGCTCTAGATCTAATGTACCACGTAGAAATTTACGAATTGAGTGAGCTTGAGTTCTGTACATTGAGTGGCGCTTGTTCACAACTGTGACGATTTGGACCTGTGAGTAACGCACCAAATATCTGAATCATCCACAATTGTTCAAATAAGTACGGTCATGATTTAAAATTTGTCATCTTTCTTGCCTGTTTCATCTCAATTTTCTTGACTGTTTTGACTTATGGTGTATTTTTCCTAAAAGTGTCGACATTAGTGAATAGTACACTTTCTCACAGGTTTCATGGCAAACCACTGCACAACAATACAAGTGCATACCGACATTAGTAGGCCGGGGGGGCCGGGGGAGCGCGTGAAGTGAGCGACCATAATGATCATTATCAATTCATATAGACCCCTAATAATGGCCTATTGTAAATGTTTGCATGAATTTAATGACGATCTGAGATAACAGTCGCTAATTTCAGGCATCCGCAACCACCTCGGCCTACTTAACGTCGATATGCCTCGTTCAGCTATGCATGTATTTGAGCTGTGCTGCAGCTGTGCGATCCTACCGTAGCAGCTGTCAAAGATTTGCTTTCGGCACGAGATCATTATCAAGTTCTTTCTATTCTTTCTTTCTTTGAATTAATTGAAAGCCTGTCCCACAATGTATTTTAAAAGGCCCCTGAATAAACCTTTTAAGCAGTCAATTTCATTCATAAAACTGCTTATGCTGTCTCTTCACGCTTTAAGAAATCACCTATCTTTACGTGCCCCCTTTGTAAAACAGATGATGAGACAGTGGAGCACTTTGTTAGGGTCTGCTCCAACCTGGACCATCTCCGTCAGGATTTCATCAACAAAGTCAAGGAATGCCTCGTGGATTATCCCATCTGTTTAAACCTGTATGATGATGATGCCCACAGCAATTTACCCCTGCTACTCTGTTACTCTTTCATCCATGCCTGCCTTCCGAAATTCATAATAGCCTACTTCTACTATCGCTCTTTTTTCTATACAAAATTGATGCCTTTCGTTCTAATGCTATCCAAAGCTCCTAAACGGTCGGATTTAATCATTTACTTTATTTGAATAGTGGAGGGATCAACTAAGAAGAAGAAGAAGAAGAAGCTTACTCGACTCTTTTGTCCCTTTCATTTCAGGTTACATTTAGGCAACTTGCTATATAGAGGTGAAAGGTCAAATGACATAATGGCATCAAGCGCTACAAGGTCAGCGACCTCCAGCCCTGCAAAGAGCGAGCGGAGTGTGAGCGAAAAGAGTGAAAAGAACACCTTTACGGATCTCAAGTCTATAGTGAAGTCTGAGTACATGAGCTTGGTGGCTAACAGACGCTTCAAGAGAGCAGGAGAAATAAGGGTGAGGCTTTCATATTGTAAATATAATCTGCTTAGAACCAGAAGGAAAATACCTATTATTATTTTTTTGAAGCCCTTCTGGTTCTAACTGACTTTGGAGGAAAAAAGATTGTGGAGATGTAAATATTAATGAGGAGCTGTCAATTTGGCAAAAAGGAAATATGATTAGTGAAAATCAGTTCAGAACTAAAGATGAAATTATAATTATATAATAGATGTATTCATGGTTTCATACTTTGTACTAAAAAGGGGGGGGGGATGAGAGAGGTTAGGAAAGGATAGGAATTGACATTCACCAGAAGTTGTGATTATTCGTACATGTAGGTCAAGTTCATTGAGTTTTGAAATAGTTCCTTCCCATTGAGATGTGGGAGGGTAATATTTGATGTGCCAGAAATGGACCTCTAATACCCTTTTCACATCTACCAAATATTGCTTAACCCCGGGAAATAGGTGGGGCTAAGGGGGCTCTTAGCCCCACCAATTCCTTCCTTAGCCCCACCAATTACCCGGGGTAATTTTAGCCGGCTTTCTGTTCACATTACGTTTTGCCAAAGTGGGCTAACCCCACAAATAGTACGGGACTATCTGGCCCTGCAAAATAGCAGGGTTAGCCGGGCAATTGCGGGGTTAGCCGGGCAATTGTGGTGCTAAGCTGCGTAGTGTGAATCCGAACCGGGCTAAGGAGAAGCGGGGCTAAGCAACAGCCAATCACAGACAGCGTGGTCGTGTGGTCGTGAATTTGCATTTATCGCGCGCTATGCATGCAGTTCACGTTACGCATGCATGCAGTTCACGTTACGCATGCATGCTCTCTGTATTGACGTTTAGTCTTTTACGAGGCAGAGGTCATTATGAAAAAATCATTTAGTCGAAAGGCGCATGCGCGGTAGCAAAAGCATTAATATTCATGAGCTATCGAATAGTCCGGGGCTAAGGCGAACGTAGTGTGAATCGCGTGAAATTTCTTAACCCCGGCTAAGCACATAGTCCGGGGTTAAGAAAATAGATGTGAACAGCAAAAAAAATAGTATGGGGTTAAGGATAGTATGGGGTTAAGGATAGTCCGGGGTTAAGAAAAATAGATGTGAAAAGGGTATAAGTGGGCTTTATGCATGTGTCGCAAATTCGCAACTATCTCTCTCGGTATGCTAAGGGATTGACCATAGGAAAGATTATAATATAATATAATGAGAGAGATATGATAGAAGGATCTAGCAGGAAAAAGTGTCTCATGGGGGATGACTTCAAATGTAGAGATTGGGAAAGAAGAGGAAGAAGGATATATGTTTTTTAACATTCAAATCTGAGTTGCTGAATGTGGCTAACACCTGTTACTTTAACTAAGTGACATGGCTGTGGGTGTAACATTTATTATGTAGGATTCTTTTTTACTAGAAGGGATACAAGGAAAATACCATTAAAATGGTATTCCTTCTAGGCTGAAATAAATTCTGATGCACCACAAGAAAAGGTGAACATAGGGATTTGATCGTGTGCCCGATGTATTTTCACTTCTCTGGCATCCAACACTTGTGTCTTAGTGCCCTTTCTTTTGATGAGGAAGGCCATCACGAGGACAGTCGATAATGCATCAGTAATGTATTCTTGATTGCAGATGATATGGTCTGCTAATCGTAAGAGCATAGAAGAGAGGACAGAGGAGAACGAGAGGAAGAATCTAGAACGTCCCTTCCAGTCCATCCACACGGCTGCTTCCTTTGATCAACTTCCAATTACAAGAAAGGTAGGCCATAGCGTAGGGTAGAAGAATGCTGTGACATATGCACCAAAGGCTGTTGATCCGACGATTGATCTGGACTTTATTTCATAATGAAATGTAATTGTAGGGTTGCGATTTGATATTTATGTTGGTTTGAGGGTTATGGTTAGGGTTATGTGTAGTTTTTGTTCCAGAGCTGGTGAAAAGAATTTGGTTAATGTAAGATTTTGACTGTTGAGAAGTTTTTTCGCTGTGTTGAACAACTGATAGAGGGGCTGTGGCCTGGTAGATATGTCTAAAATCTAGAACAAAGAGTCCCATACATTGGAGAATTTTTGATCTACAGGATATACTGCTGTTTTCAGATCATCTATTAATTTTTTCAAATCTCAAATGCTGCGCTTTGGCAAACACTCATAGCCCGATCTTTCCTACATGTATATACTGCATGGATCCAAGTTATTTTCTAGTTGTTACTTATCTTGTGTGGGAAATTTGTGCATGTACATACCTCAGCCTTGACAAGATTTTGAGATTTGTTTCAGATAATTTTCCCCATCTATTCTTTTATGAGGTGGAGGACTGAATATTTACACAAGTATCAATTGCCTTATTCTGGCTTTGTTTGGTAGAGGATTATTCTCATGAGAAAGAATATTCAGCATTTGATATGTGAATGCAATCAGTTGGCAACAAATTATAATTTCATCGAAAAGAAAACAAACTTTGGCACAGGTCCTTCACAAGGGCAAATGCTAGCACGATATCAAGCCAGCAGAGAACTTAGATTTGGACTGGGTGTCCTTCATCTTGGACTTCATTTGCAATTTATTGTTATTTGATTTTTTATTTCAGTGCTCCATAGAGGTGGGTAGTAATAAGCACAAACAGACTGCTTCTCTCCACACGCTCAATGGTGTCAGCTCAGTGCCATGTGTCTATACCTGGGCCCCACTTCAACAAAACTTCATGGTAAGTTGACTAACTATTGACTACTGAATTTTCTTATTAACGTAGGCTTAGTACCGGTAATACTCGGGTTTCCAAAGGCAACATGTCAATCTTCATGGGAAATTTTGTTCAGTTGGGCCCCGTCTTATAAAAGAGTTGCGATCGATTACAAATTGTTGCAATTTATATCAATTGCATCTTCTATCTATTTAGTACAGAGTTGCAATTAATATCAAATACAAGTTATTTGTAATAAATAGCAGCTTTTTTATAAGACAGGGCCCGGGTGATGATTATTGAGTAAAAAAGCATAGATTGCATACCTTTTGTTATCTTTATGAAGTTTTCCATAATTCAAGACCAGGGATTTCCAAACCACACCAAATTATTTTAATAGGTTAGAATGGATTCCTTTTACTTTTGCTTATGATTATTCCTAAAAGCATTTTGTAATCCTATCACAAAAATAACACTAGAATTCAGTTAATTTTATCTCATAAATGGGATTTCCAAAATGTTAATGCTTCTAAAGATTATGCCATGAAGTAACTATTAATAATTATGGTAAGTATTTGAAATTGATTACCTTCTACAATTTTATTCTTCATGTCACAAAGTTTTCAATGTGTAAGACAAAGGGTTTTATTAAGTTCAAAATAGTAAGTGTCATTATGATTATAAATCAATGTCTATAGGACTGCTACAGTACTATACATTATACTGTGCATTATTACATATAATATTATTATTATTATATTAATATTATATTAATATACATGTAATATTTTTACCTGGCTTCATCCAACAATTTCAGGTAGAAGATGAAACTGTTCTTCACAACATTCCTTACATGGGCGATGAAGTTTTAGAACAAGAGCAGACGTTCATCGAGGAACTCATCAAGAACTATGACGGCAAAGTCCATGGTGATCGAGGTAAAGTGATGATAGAAAATAACAATATGATCTTATTTAGCAAGGGTCGCGGGTTTAGTATATAAATATACACTGCCTTGAGAGGTTGTGTTTAAAACTATGCGCAAGAGGTGACTCCAATAGTACTATTTGCTGAGGGGCGCAGCCCCGAAGCAAATGGTACTTTTGGAGTCACCGAGGTCCATAGTTTAACCAGTACCTCGAATAGAAGGCATGGTATATTTGTTTTATATCCTGCATCAAAAATTTATTATAAAAAAAAAATAATAAAAAAAAAATATTTTTGGGAAGAAAAAAATTTAGAACCAATCAAATGTCAATTTTTATCAAAAAAAATTTAAAATATTTTGTTTTCATTAAATTAAGATTTTAAAAAAAAAAATCATATTTTTTTTCAACTCCCAAATAGTAAACCAAAATAGTACTCTCATATAGTACTTTCTAAAAATAGGTCAAATATTTCTGGCCATATGACGAGCTCTTAACCAATCAAAAGCCAACAAATTTTGATGCAGGATATAATATTAATTATTGATCCGGTATTGCCAAGTATCCACTTAACACACCTGGGTTGAGAGGGGCAAAGGGGGTTAAAGCACCTTGTCCAAGAATGTAAGCACCGAGCAAGGATTGAACAGGGAGCCTCTGGTATGAGAGTCAAGAGCCTTCAACAATATACCACAGTGTGCGTATAAGTAGTCGGTGGATCATATTTGGTCAAAATAACAATGGGTTTATCTTAGCATGTGGTTTTCTCAAGTCTGAAACAATTCAACGTGGTTACATCTTTTTTCCTGGATTGAAAATTTTTCGGGGCATTAGAAAATGTGTGGATGATTGATCGCCAGCCAGACCAAGGAAGTGCTAGATAAACAATTTTTATGTTTAGAGCAAGGTTAAAGATGGTGTTAAGTGTTAACCCATTAGATAATCAGTCAAATACTTCAACTTCCTCAAATCTATTTTGTAGCTGATAAGCTTAAAAGTTGTTAGAACCTCAGTTTAAAATTCTGACATTTATTACTAATATTGTCAGTTCTTCACTTATCTGCCCGTATTTGCTCACATAATTTAGGATGAGCTTTCCAAATACACTGAACGCTAAACTAATTTGGTCTTTGGTTATTTGATATTATTCTCTTCTTTTGTTTTGCCTACAGAGGGAGGTTTCATTGATGATGAAGTGTTTGTAGAGCTTGTGAGGAGTGTGGCAGCCACTGAAAGTCAGTTGATGGTCAAGAAAGAAGAAGAGGGTACTGGTAAGTGGTTATAATATTGTTATTTGTCATCTCTTCCTCCTCCTTCTTCCTTCTCCTTCTTCTTCTTCTTCTTCTCCTTCTTCTCCTTCTTGTTCTTCTTGTTGTTCTTGTTGTTCTTGTTCTTATTCTTGTTCTTCTTGTTCTTGTTCTTCTTGTTCTTCTTCTTTTGTTGTTATGTTTGCTGTTGTTTTGTCATCATTATCATGATGTTTCATCTGTTTGATCAGCAGTATCCGATTTGACAGAGATGAAGGAAGAGGAAGTTAAAGAGCCGGAAGTGAAAGAGCCAGAACTGAAGACGTCGGAAGTGAAAGAACCAGAATTAAAGACGCCAGAAGCAAAAGAGCTGGAATTGAAAGAACTGGAATTGAAGACGCCGGAATTGAAGACGCCGGAATTGAAAGAGCTGGAACTGGCAACGCAAGAATTGAAAGAGCCGGAATTGGAGATGGAAGAAGATTCTGTGCCATCCGATTTCCCCAAGGATATCATCTTCAAGGCCATCGTCAGCTTCTTCCCTGAGAGAGGATCAATAGAAGAGCTCAAAGAGAGGTCAGTGTGTGTTTGTTTAACCCATTGACTACTGAATTGTTATCTTTCCCATAGGTTTAAAACAGGAACAACCTGGTTCCAGTAAGCAATGGGTTAAGTTCCTCAAGATATTCAGCCATCAAGTGAGGGCTGAAGGAATCCTCATTCTTTCATATTGGCAACAATTGGTGTATGTCTTTCAGTGCTATATCATCCAAGAATACATTGTGTTGAAGTAGAAGCTATGTCAATATATAATACATACATGTACATGGGGAAACAATTAAAGTAGATACTCACTATATTATGTGTTGCCAATTTGAGTATATTCTTGTTTCGTTTAACGAACTGCTTTCTAAAAACGTCTTCTAATGTTTTGTTTGCTTTTTCTACTCATATCATGCTGTGTATATCATTTGTAACAATCTTAAGCATTTTTATAATGGATATTACTATGTCTATTTTTCCTATTTAAAAATATAGCTTACATTTCACAATTTAAATGTTCATGTCAATCCCAATGATTTCCATATCCTTATTGTGATTTATTGAGTAGATTACCTAAGAAACAGAAACCCTCAATTCTTGCAGCTTGCAAACAATTCTTATGGTGTATAATGTGCAGTCAACAAATAAATTAATTTTGTCCTTTATATTATCCCAGTGTTTAGTATGGTCACCTCTGATCATTAGATGATGAAATTCATTGATGTGCCCTGGGACCTGGGACCTGGGACAAATCTGCCGATAACCAATCAGAAGCAAGGATTCAGTCGCTTATAAAAAAAAATTATTTTGTCACTGATGACAAGTTTTGTGAAACGCCCCCCTGATTTCTGTACAAATGAATGACAAGAATTAATTTATTTATGTTGGTTAATGGTAGGATGATTCAGTGATGAATTTGCAAGGGTCTGAAGTATTGGCTATTTTTGAGAGCCATACCTAGTACTGGGCCTGTTGTCACATCTACCTGCGTGTAGCGGGTGGTGACTCTAGGCTACAGGACAGGGGAAAGCTGTAAGCATTCTGAGAATGAAATACCTACCTTTCCAGGAATATCTGTACTATGTACACTTGTGATTAGTGGCAAATCAGAAGAAATTAAAAAAATGTTCTGCCCATCCAAATTAAAAGCAATTCTTCAGTCAGATAACACAAAAATGAGCCTAACCTTACTTTGTGCACATATAGTAACATGTTTGTGAATTTTAACCATTATGATTCCATTGATAATACTTCTTTATGGTCTAACCCTAATCAGGCCGGGGTATTTCAAAAGTTTCTAATACTGGGGGGGGGGGGGGGTGGGAGGGGGTCATAATGACCTGGGTTATTGATGTACATTTGTACACAGTGTACAAATGCTCATGTACCCTTTAAAGCTCATGTTATGTATGTTATTACCAATTTAAAAAAAGTCAGTCACTCACTCAATAGTGTCTGACAATGCAGTCTAGAAAGTAAACAGGTTTCCTTGCATAATTTGAATAATAGGACACTGCTAACGCTTAAATTTCACAGACAGGACATACGTGACATATTCATAATTTCTGCAAAGTTCTACAGAATTTGATGTTGGCTGCAAAAGGGATACACTACCTTTAAGAATGTAATTCAGAGGATATTGAGATTTTAGAAACCATGCAAATGCAAATTCTATCTCATAAGTTTGCTGTAGTAGTTATCTTTGCTTTATACTTTACACAATAACCCAGGGTTTCTTCTTGATTTGCCAAGATTCAAGAAATATAATCTGATTCTTACCCTGCTGGAGGAACCCAAACACACACTCAGATCTTAAAGTGACTTGTTAACATTGCCTCAGATTCTGAAACAAAATCCTGGATTAAGCTCATGCTGCAATCATAATTATTAACCAGTCAGAAATCCCATGACTTTTACAAGCAGATTGCCTTTCTGATTATCAAGATATTTATGATTGGAAATCAAAATTTCATTTTTCCGTTTTCCTAACAGTTTTCATAACACTACAGTCTATTGGGAAAAATGAGTATGGTGAAACTGGTCTCTCAAAGACTTACTTTTTTGAGGCACTTTATGATCATTTTGAAGCGCAATTTTTAAAGGACTTCAATATTACGCCATATCACAGACACTGATAACACGTAGGGCCATCTCAGATATAACATTGTTAAACGATGCCTTTAAGATATACCACTATCTTTATTTTCCTTATTTTTTCTTGTCCAGATACCGGGAGCTGACTGAGAAACAGGATCCTAACATCCTACCTCCGGAGTGTACCCCTAACATCGACGGTCCCAACGCCAAATCAGTGCCTAGAGACGAGACTATGCATTCCTTCCACACTCTCTTCTGCCGACGCTGCTACAAATACGACTGCTTCCTCCATCGTGAGTTGCATCGGATGTGAAATTCATTTTTCTGTTGTAGAACCTGGGGGGTGTTTCACAAAGACTAAGATCATCTTTAAGTTGGACTTAACTATGGCAGGCCATTAATGCCACAATTTCTCTCACCATTTACTGGCATTGGTCTCTCAAGGGACGCACAAATCATGGTCTCAAATCTAAAGATTATAATATAGAGACCAACAGTGAGGGCAACCAGTGGCATGAATGGCCTGCCATAGTTAAGTTCAACTTTAAGTCGATCTTAGTCTTTGTGAAACACCCCCCAGAACCATTTGATTTTGTCGGTGGTCCTGATGTGTGAAAGTTTCAGTGTTGTGACAAAAATGTTAGGATTAATTACACAAACATTGTGAACTGCATGAAAAGGTTTTGCTGTGAAGACATCCTTTGTTGAAGATTTGTTGATTTTTCATGTCATGGAAGTTTTTTAATGGTCCATTCTTCAGCATTTATGATAATAGAAGAAGAGATGTTAATTAAAGGTTCTTATGATCAAAAGTCAAAGCCATGCAACCTGTCTGTGTAACAAAGACCCTGTTCTCACTCACTTTGAAAGTGGTCTTAGTTAGACCGCTCCAGACCGCTCCAGAGGAACAGGTCTTGAGGAACGGTTTGCGAGCGTTCACACTCCGAGCAGTTTTTATGGCTCAAACCGCTCCACGAGTCAAAGTGGTCTTGTTGCTATGGCAGCTCAGGTAGGCGGGTCAATTTTTTCGCCCGCGGAATCCAAACCCTATGTCACCTGATGTCCCGTTCGCGACGCGTCCCGTATACATGTATATGTGTAGTGCCTGCCCGATCGCTCATCGCGCGGAACGTCACTTCCGTTCAAAGTACGCTTTCCCTTCACATTGCACGTTAGACCGCTCTGGAGCGCTCTTAATAAGACCCGCTCCTCAAGACCACCTCGGAAGGTGGACTTCTGGAGCGGTCCAGAAGTCCGCTTCCTGGACCACTTTGAGCGTTCTTACTCACCTAAGAACCGCTCCTGAGGAGCGGGTCTTAGTTAGAGCGCTCCAACGAAGTGAGTGAGAACGGGGTCTAACTCTAGCTAATCTCCAACAGCTAATCTGCATACCAGTGTTCCCTTTTTCCCCATCAAATTCAATGCTCTTCATTTCCCCCAACATTTTCTACTTCAATCCTCTTTTTTAAAAACTATTTCTTTATCGCATTACCCTCTATGTGTGTGTGTGTGTGTGTGTCTCTCTCTTCTTTTCAACTCTCACTTTCCCTATCCCTCTCCGTCTCTCTTTCTCCTATTTTCTCATCTTTTTAATTCTTAATTTTCTTTTTCTTTTTATCCTCAGCATACCATCCAACTCCGAGTCAGACCAAGCCGAAGAATAAAGAGTTCCGTACCGGAACTGAGCCATGTGGCCCAAGCTGCTTCATGCATAAGGTGAGCTTTTTATCAAAATGAGACCTTTTCGCTTTCCTAGAGATAATTCTTCTAGTTCCAAAAAGGGTTTCATTAATCATTCTTGTTGCTGATGAAGTTCACATCATGTAGATCTGTATATTTTGAAGATGGGCACTGGAGTTTTACCTGTTGCATATTAAGCTGGACACAACATGGTATGAAATCAGTCGGAAATGCAGGTTAAATGGAATTTCTATTGCTTTAAAAAGAAACATCATTCACAAAAGAAAATCGTAATTGAAAAAAAGGGGGTGGGGGCAGTTCTCAGAATCATTGCCTATTTTGTGACATCAATTTCCCCACAATGCATGAACATATTACATAACTTACACAAGATTACACAAGATATTACAAAGAATACACAAATAGCTTTGAGAAGAAGAACAAAATATTTTGCAATTAAAAAAGATGTTATATTTAATTCTTTTTCTTCCATATATTTCAGTTTTCCACTTAAGGATAGTGATTGTGTTTTATTTTTCATATGTACACCATCCTACGGACCTATTGGTATAACTTCTACAAATAAAGTTTTTGATCAATTCTTGTGTTCATGTAGCAAGAGTACAGCATTCCAGAGCTTCCCCCTCCAGCCGCGGACAAGAGCAAGGGATCTCCGTTCCGACCTGGCTACAAGAAGCTAGGGGGAGGGCGCTCCAACACGAGCACTCCGACCAAATTCCTCGGGGAGTTGGACCCGGATTTCCAGCCATTCGATAAACCATTCATTGGTAGGTGATCCAGGCCTGATAAATACCCAATTTAAATCGGTTTTTCTGATTTTTTATTATTTTTCTGATTTTTTCCTGATTTTTTCTTTTCTTTTTTTTTCTTCCCAATTTTATCCCTATTTTCCTGATTTTTCTCATATTTTCTCTATTCTTCCCAATTTTTCCCCAATTTTCTTAATCAAAAGGGGGGCATGTTGTTAGATGCCATTTCCCCCCCCCCCCCGAATCCTCTTCTTCTTTTTTTTTTACTAAAGGGGGGCTCACTATCACCCCTGATATTAACTTGCTTTAATTACCCAAAATCTACTGCACAGATAAATACATGTGGGACTCTATATATACTCGTTGGTGAGCCTGACCAGTTCAGTGTTCTCTTCCTTTGCTGCCCATTTCCTCACTATCATTAATTTTTTTCCCCAATTTACTAGGGGAAATATCACTGTTTGTAGTACCTGAGATTTGGGGTAAATTTGTTGGATTTTAAATGCAGCTGTACTTTGTTTCAATACCTGCACTTAAAGATAAAGTTAAGTTCTGGTCATGCAATTGCATTGTGAAAGAAACGGTGTGGACTCGATCAGAAAAGGTTGATCATCGAGCATATAAGTATTGGTGTGTACTGCAAGGTTCTGGAATCATCAAAATGATAAGAATTTGGCCCAGTCTTGGTAAAGTTACAAGCACTGTACACAGAAATATGTATATGAGACTACATGAACATGTGGCATAAAAAACCAAACCCCGATTTTTATGATGTTACATGCCATATTTAGAATATTAAGGCATTCAAAGAGCCATGCTTTTCAGGGAACACTTTGTATCTGATGTTCTTCCACACTTGCATAATACAGTAATAACGGTCACAAATTGTTTTTCACCTCTTCCCAGAACTCAACGTTCTCTTTAATACTACCTTTCAATCGTAAATTGATATCGTTCCATCTTTGGTATTCTAATCTATGTAGAACCTGAGAGTAGCAGTAATGACAGCTTGCCAGCAGAGACCAACCTGGTTACATCGGATGAATGGAACGGAAGGGAATCCTCGCTCTTCAGAGTATTAAGAAACGTCTACTACAACAACTACTGTGCCATGGCTAGGTTACTCAGGACAAAGACTTGTATTCAGGTTTGTCATCCTTGTATGTAACGTAGTTGATTCTGTTTCATTTATACACTTGTTATCTTCATAGGAAAGTATTTACCCCTTGATTTGGGGGCGGGGAGGGGGTACCAGGTAATGGTTTATTGCCGTTTGGTCTAATACCCAATTGGTCTATTCCCATACAGACTACACCCAGCCCGTCTACTATCCACTCCACAAGGTCCAATATTCATTTTGTCTACTTATCATGTGGTCTAAAGACCATTTAGGCTAATAGTCAATTGGTCTAATTATCATTTGTTCTTATCTTCAATAAGTCTAAAACATGTTTTGTCTATTGCTCATTTAGTCTAATTTCCAGTGGGTCTAATATCCAATTTGGCTAATGCCCATTTTGTCTACTGTTTATATGGTCAAAAAATCTTTCAATCATAATTAGTTATAATCCTCAAATGATTGTTAGACCCTCTGGCTGGTAGATGAAATGGGCATTAGACTAACTGGGAATTATGCTAACTGGTTAATAGACTAAATGACCAATAGACATAATGGGTAGTAGACTTATTAGAGATCAGACCAAATTGAAATTAGACCAATTGACTATTAGCCAAAAAATTTTGTTAGACCAAATGATAAGACCATATAGGAAAAAGAACTTGGTGAGAAATCACTAGTGATATTAGTACTCCTGTACATCCCAGTCAGCCTTATCAGGGAAAGAGACCAGAGTAATAATACTACTACTTCTAATAATAAGGATTTTAATAATGTCTGGTTGATTTTGTAGGTGGCAGAATTCTCAGCGAAAGAAGGTGAAGCTATGGAGCTCTCACCGGAGCACAACACCCCACCCAGGAAGAAGAAGAGAAAACAGAAGTAAGTTGAACATTTTGATATTGATAGAAAATCGTCTAACTTATAGAAAGGGGATGTTAGAAATCTATTTCTAGAGGAATGTTCAGGAATACTGTCATTTAAAAAAAAATAACAAACTGTAGTAAAGTTTATCAGTTTTTGAAACAAGGTGATGTAAAGTTATGTGTATACGTAGTCACTTGGTTGAACTTTGTGTTCCAGAAATAATCGAGGATAATCATACCTCTTGAACATGTCATTAAATTTTAATGATATGCAATTGATTACTATACTATTCTAAGATTCTCTATTCTCTTCTAAAGTCTGTTTAAATGTCATCTAAAGTATTCCTCTTGTGTTTTGTTTCATAAAATGCAATTGAAATGATAAAATTGAAATTGTATTCAAAACGATAATTGATATGTTTTCTCTCTAGGTTGTGGTCTATGCATTGCAGGAAGATTCAGCTTAAGAAAGGTGAGATTTCTTTTAACTTTTTATCCATTTTTTGTTTACCGTTCTACATGTGAATATAATCTGAAAGGGAAAGTCTACCCTGATATTAATAAAAGCAGAAAAATCTGTTTAACAAAATACACTTTCATTGACCTTTGTCGGGGTCATTTTTCTGCTTTTATTAAAACTTAATTAATACTAGGGTGATGGAAAACGAAGTTTTAAAAAGGAGTTTGTTTTCACTCTGCAGGTTGTTAAAAAATATGAAATATTAAGTCTAATAATGATAGTGCTTCTCATTTTGCACATTCTTAGCACATTCATTTTGATGATATATATAATTTGTTTTCATTGCAGACAATTCTTCAACTCACGTCTACAACTACCAGCCTTGTGATCACCCCGGCAAACCATGTGATGCTGATTGTACGTGTATCATGCTTCAAAACTTCTGCGAAAAGTTCTGTCAGTGCAGCCCTGAATGTAAGTTCAATCCAGAGTAGATTTACCCTTTTTTTTTAAATCAGGACAGTTCACTGTTGTGTCTACTTGTTTGCAAATTTGATCTCATCAAAATTTACATGTTTCATCATTCAGAATTTGAAATGATAACTAGCATTGTTCCTAAATCATTTAGATCCATTTTTTGTATACATCATTTGACTGTACATTCCACTGCATTAGTGAACCTCTGTATCTAAGACCACCTGTCTATAAAGCTCACTTGTTTTTATCCTTTTTGAAAAGCATTTCTTCTTGAAAACTGTCAAAAGAAATAAACTTTGTTCTAAAACTAAAAGTGGAAGTGGTTTCAGCTGTGCCTTAATTTATTTTTGACTATTAAAAAAAAAAACATTTGGCATTGTAACACTCAGATATACAGATGTAGACATATAAATGACATTTTTATCTGCTTAATCATTGCTCAAGGAGATAAAAAACATTCTTTCACTCTAGGTCTCAAAATCTTAATCACAGCTATCTTCAATAGTTTTTTTTTTATTGTGTTTCTGTAAAGGAGCACTGTTTGGAGTTTGTTTTCATCACCCTGCAGTAAAGTATAAATATATAGTAGCTGTTCTATATATATTGATATCATTATTTATCATTATTATCCTGTGTTGCCAATTTTCATCACATATTCTTTTAGGTCAGAATCGTTTCCCTGGCTGTCGTTGTAAGGCTCAGTGTAACACCAAGCAGTGTCCATGCTACCTCGCTGTGAGAGAATGTGATCCGGATCTATGCCAGACTTGTGGAGCAAGTATGTTATGGATGCATGTCTTGTGGTTGTTTGTTTTATTTTGATATTTGTTATTTAATTTCTTTATACCTCGTCTTTTAACACCTTCTGCACCGGCTTACTTCAAATCATTGGGTCCTTGTGTCGGGTCAGGTGGTTGCGTTACCCAACCTTTTGTGAAAGCATGCCCCTTTATTCACAAAATTTTGGGTAACGTTTTTGAAATAACCCCCTCTGATCTAGAAAAGGTCTGGTCCAATTTATTTCACACTTTGTAAATACCCTGCAGCTATTCTATGTTAAGGCCACGTCATCTTCTGCTTTTGATTCATGAAAAGATTGTGAAACGCGTCCTCCCTCATATCAATGATTCGAAGTAAGCCTTCTGCCCCTGTAATTTAAACTTCAAGAGCCAACAAAACTGAAGTATTTACAGTGTAAGTCTATGTTTTATTGAAAGATTTGGCTTCAGATAACAGTGTCTGCAACTGTTTCTCTTCACAAATGAAAAAGTGTATCTAGGCCAAAGTTTCAAGGTTACAGTTGAAAATTTACATTCTTGGGCGAGTTTTGTCCCCCACTGTACGGAAGGGTGTATTATAATTAGTTTGCCATGTGACCATGTTCCAGAGTCTATTCAAAATAATTAGATTCAATTTTATTCGTCCAAGTTTAACAGATGGAAATGTTAGATAGGATTCTTTTGCAAGCACTAAAAATACATATGTAAAGAACAAAAACTGGTACCGGTAATCAAAATACATAAGTGCTGAACATACATAGATGTTGACATAGGCATAAATATTAAAATAAATTTACACATAGCATAATTAGTGACAAATTACAGAGTAAGAGGGTCACTTCATAAGATTTTAGAAATAAATAGGTTTACTATTTATCTTACTTTTTCTAGCGGGTGTATTTACGGACAAGAGTACCAGTGAGAGTATATCCTGCAAGAACGTCAGTCTCCAACGAGGATGGAAACGGGTAAGAATCAAATCCTGCTTTGGATTGCTCATTGATATGAATCAAATTTCACTTGTTAGATATAATTTGATTGTGGTAAACACATTTTCCAAAGACTCCAGCCTAAATTATCTTGGGGTTAATAGTTTTTAACAGGTTGAAGTTACCTTGAGTCATTTACTGGACAGGTGAATGATTGAAATGTGTTTTCTGCTTGTGTTTGGGCAGGCAAGGTTTCTTTTGGTCTGTCCAGTGTGTAATCATCGCATCTTGAAGTGCTGGTCCAATTTGAGAACTGAATTAAGATTTATTATATTACCTAGACATTATATTATTAAAATTTAAAAATTAAAGTTTTGTTTATACAGTTAGCAACTAAATTATTCATACCCTTACCAAGTTTGTTAATTTTTCAAGTACATGAAACATTGATTTGTCCAGATTTAATTTTAGTGAGAATGTGAGATATTACATTTTCCATATCAATTCAACAAAGGCCCTTATTCAACCAGTCCAACTTTCAATCTTGAGTTACAAAAAACACACAAAAATTCAAATTTACAAGGGTTATGAAAGCTGTAGATGTGTTAAATATTGATATTACAACTCCACATTCTTCTCTTGATTCTAGCACCTTCTTCTGGCTCCATCTGATGTTGCCGGGTGGGGCATCTACATCACCGTTCCAGTGATGAAGAACGAGTTCATCTCAGAGTACTGTGGAGAGGTGAGTGTCTTCAAGGTCAAAGTAAGAGTAAAAATCAATGAAATAAGATCTGATTGACGGACAGGTAATGAAGGTGACCCACAAGGGACTAAAATGGGACCACTACTGTTTATAATTATGATAACAGATAACAAGTTCATCTCTGAGCACTGTGGAGAGGCGAGTGTCTTCAAGGTCAAAGTTTGCTTGCTAGATGCATCGTCTGTTCTGGACGTTGGTGATCAAGGCTTGCCATCTACTTCTATCTCTGGTTTTTTGTAATGTGACGTTACTTCTGTTACCAGTCAGCCCAATGAACTTATCCATGTATTTGATGCGCTGTCTCCTTCAGCTTCTCGTAATGTCAAAGTAGCGGTATATTCAAGTCACGTTTAAAGTGAAATGCATATCACCCAATCATGTATATTTCTCAATCAAAATGTTGATATTTTATTTTAAAAGTTAGAATTTGTGGACTACATGTATTTGATAATTTCAGTTACAGGTAGCTCTCATTGTAAAGTAGATGACTTGAGTCAAGTTGAGTATGTTCACATTTTAGCCTCAAACACAGGATTATCAAGTGACTGCGAGTCAATGGTGGCTTGAAATTGGCAATCTCTGTTATTTTTCTTTTCTTTCTTAATTTGTAAACTAGATTATTTCTCAAGACGAGGCAGATAGACGAGGCAAGGTCTATGATAAATACATGTGTAGCTTCCTCTTCAATCTCAACAATGGTATGTCTGGTAGAGCCTTGATAATGACAGATTTTATGGAAATGGTGGTAGTAATGATGATGATTATGTTGCTGCTTCTACTGCTGATGATGGTGACCGTATGAATGACATTGATGGGGATGATGACAGTGGTGATAAGGATGAGGATGATGATAAACACAATGTGCCGGGGGAGGGGGGGGGGGGGTTGATGGTGGTAGTGGTGATGTTGGTGATGATGATAATATTTACAATCATAGCAATAATGCCAATGGTGATGAATATTATGATGAGGAGGATAATGATGATAGTACTGATCTAAACAGTGATGCCAATGATGACAGTGATGATATTATGATGATAGCAAAATGTATTGCCAGTGTGGACTTAATGTCAGCATATAGGAATAAAGTTTAAACTATTTGAGTGCTATGTCTCCTAATTTCGGACAGTACCCTAGTCCTTCTTCCTTCCTACTGACCAAGTGCATGTGTAGAATGCTGTATGACCTTGAATTTTTGTTTCTTACAGATTTTGTTGTGGATGCCACCAGGAAAGGAAACAAGATTCGTTTTGCCAATCATTCCAACATGCCAAACTGTTATGCCAAAGGTAAATCATGTCAGTCTCATAAACTAGTGAGCTCATAAGTGGCTTCTTTGTTATAAAACAATCTCTAGATCCTATATTAAGTACAGTAACTATACTAATTATTTTATGAAGAAAACATAATATTCTTTCTTTCATTTCTTTCATAACATACTTCCATTATCATATCAATTATAGTTCTTATCTGCCTAATACGGTAGTTACTTTCAGTTGACTTGTGCCATTTTCAATCAATGAAACGTGAATTTTCCTCTGTATTAAACATTGTAGACAACTAGATAAGTAAGTAAAAAAGAGGCTTCTTTAACAGGTTACAACCCATAAAAAATGAAACTTAATGGATTTTTATCCAAACAATGAGTCAAATGTCACATACGATAATTTCAAACCATCGGTAGTGAGTTTGCTCATACCAGGTTGTGATTAATAATGGTATTATCGGCTGTTTCGAATATTTTGTGTTCCCATATGATATAGATTTAAAAAATGTACCTCATGGCTGATTTTGAGGAAAAATTAAAGCAAGGGTATGGGTCTTGATACAAAAAAAAAAATTCTGGATTTTTCAACTAATGAAAAAAATTATGATGTCTATCTTTTTTATCCTGCAGTGATGATGGTAAACGGAGATCATCGAATAGGTATTTTTGCCAAGAGAAACATCCAAACTGGTGAAGAGTTGTTCTTTGACTACAGGTTAGTTAACTGTGTACTAAGAAGTTCTTACTTGTTAAAGGCCCACTGCACTACTTTTAGCTACTTGCGCCCTCTATATAACAACCAATGCTTAATCGGTGCCTGTTGTTCCCCCATGATCCACTTTTTCATATGTTAATTGAGAGCTGATTGATGAGATAACCACCTGTCAGTGACTTTGCTGGGAGGTCTAATCCCCCTGACCAAACTAGTACAGACGGGCTTTAAAGGTACCCTTATTAGTATTATTAAGTATTTGGCGTCACCTGTGTCTAAGAGGCGAAAAGCGACCCTCATGTCTCCTCCCGATGTAACTGATTGTGGGTATGCCAATGGACCACTACACCAGGGTTTCCCCCTACACTTAGTCAAACAGTGCAGTGGGTTCTTAACGTGCAAAGGTGGTTACTCTCCTTTACAAGGGACCTCCATTTTACGTCCTGTCCGAGGGATGGGGTGTTTTCCACTGTAATATAGCCTGCGTCCATGAAAAACAGCAGGGGCATGTTAACACACAACGCAGGCTTCAACCATCCGGCTGGGTTGGATTCGAGCCCACGATCTGGTTTTACAGGCAGATGCTTTACCGACTGAGCCAACCCATCTCAATATTATGTAAACTTTATACGCATCACATTAATGCAGCTTGTAATACACAGGTAGAGATTATACGTAGGACCTTTGTTGCTTGCAGCCACAGTTTTCAGTCCCTCTTGCCAGTCATATACACGTAGGATTTTTTTTCCTGCGTCATGATTGATTGATTGATTGGAAAGTTTTTATTACAATTGCACTTCGCAGCCAGATGGCTGAATTATGAACAATTTACATTGGTATAATGTACGGTATATAACAAAATTCATAACAACATTTATAACCAATATGACTAAGGCTATAACAGATAAATTAAGTTTAAAATATATTTTGTGAGGTGACACAAGAGTGGGTCAAAGGATGAGCAAGCAGGCCCTTTGCTCTTCAATACACGCTCTCATTCTTATACACGCTCCTATTCTCACTCCTGTACCATGGACACTCTCATAAACACTCAAATTTACACTCTTATGCACACTCCCATTCACACTCCCATACACTAGCTAAGGTCTGCTCGCCCATCCCTGGACTTCTCTTGTGTCAAGAAGTGTTGGATATTTCAAAACATAAACAACAAAAAACAAAAAAGCTCCCTCCCGACCTTCGTACATTGGAGCAAATAAGTACATGAATTAAAACCATCTGATCTGAATTGCCATTTCATATGTGAGTGAGCCACATTTTTATTATCCCTCTGACATATGTGAGTTTTGAAAATTGTTTGTTTGCTAACATTTCCGTAGATAATATAGAATGGAATTCATATATTCATGAGTACGGTATGTAGAACTCTCCAAAGGGGTTGTACCTCTTAAATTTACGATCTCACGAGGAAAGAACACACTATCAAGCAATGAGGTTATATAATTAATATCAACAAATTAATAATTTAATATAGATAATCAACACAAATAATCAAGGTTCATTTCATAGTTCGGGTACACAAAAAATACACACAATAATCAAATGTCTAAGGGAGCAAACAGCTCTCTCAGACGGCAATAATCAACATAGAAATAACAGTGATCACTGGATAAAACATGGGCAATTAATCTCCTGTAAATTACGATAAGCAATACAATAATCAACAGGATCGTCTCAAGGGAGTAAGAAACTCAACTCAAGGTTAATCAAAAACAAAGATGGCGATGAAGTCGTTCGCTAGGTCTCGGTGGCGATGGTGATGAGAGAGTCATTCACCACTGCACACGATTGGTTAAAAATTATTTGAAATATGCATATACCATAAAATATTAGTATACGCGCTGTACAAAATAATAACAATAATCACTATAAAATATATTACAAACCAGACAGAACCGGTTGGAACATGTTTGCAAAGCCAAAAAGGCGGAGTGGGAAAGTACGACGCAAGGGAAATTAATTCTCCCTAGCCGACACTTTGAAAATAGGACAGCAATACATACCAAACATGTACAAATCAATGCATAAAATTTGTCAAAACATTATTATACATGCAAAAGTTAAAAACCTTGACACTAGTGCAGGATTAGCCTGAATGTCGAAGATTATGAGAATTTTTATTGAAAATTTGAAAATGACTTTTATTTCGCTTTCATATTTTTCATTGGTGGTATTCATGAGTCGAGCTACCATAAAATTGCTCTAATGTTTAATAGGTCAGAAGCTTTAAAGGATAGAGTCCTGTTAGTCTTTAGTAGGAAGTTTGTTTCAAATGTAAACACAGTAGAATATATACATATAACAGATTGATTAACCTTGTGCTTATTCCTTTAAAAAAAAATGTCTTTAAGATTGAAAAGTTAGGTTTGATATTCCACAATATGTTCCTACATTGACGATATAAACTTGTGTTTATTTCTGAAAGAACAGATTTGAGGGCTAGGAAAATTTCTGAGGTGTGTAATGACTTGCTATAGTCGGATCATTATCAAAGGCTATATGAAATTCACGTTCTTTCCCATAAAACTTACATTTAAAAGAACTTATGGGACTGATTGTAAATCAGACTCACAAGCGGTTTCCTGATGTTCAGTTTTTGAATCATAGTGGATAAAGAATAATGTGAATCTTTTTTATCTTTTTCTTTACCAGATATGGACCCACCGATGCTCTGAAATATGTAGGAATTGAAAGAGAGATGGACATCCTAGCAGGGAAGTAGGAACCAATCCAGACCTCAATTCAACATTCCAGGAAAATTATGACTAACTCTGCCTGAATTTTGCAGGTTTTTCTTGTATTCTTAGTTTTCCAGTCTGTTTTTCTAAAAGAAGACTGTTTTAATGTGCTGTATTTTTTCATGCTGAAAATATGGAAATGTTATTTTTATGTGATGCATCGTAGTTGTAAGCAAGAAATATTTGATATGAAAAGGTTATAGTGTTAAAGATGTAGATCACTACAGCTACCACCACCGTCACCATCACCTCACCAAAATATTACTTGAAAGCATGTCACCCCCCCCCCCCCCCCCCCCCCCCACAGTCTGCATCCTGGAAAATTAAGACTAAAGAACAGAATAAGAATTGTGTATATAAATGGGATTTATAAATTGAGTTTATGTTGATTTTAATTTAATAGAACCAGTTACTGTGTGGCATTATAGCATGCAGACATCCAACTATAACTTTAGAACTGTTGACAACAGAATCAACAGCTATTCAACAGATCAGTAGCATAACTCATATTTGTTGTACTTGTTCAGGTATATTGTAACAGTTTGTAAACAGAATTGTTATGACAGCAGTGCCTTATAATTGATCACTGACCAGATCTAATGCATGTAATATTTTCAGATAAAAGATGATAATCCATGTAAGTATTTTTATACATACGCTATTGTTCTAAATTTATATCTGTCCAAGCAGTATTTCAATGAGAATCAACTTTAAACTAACATCAATTCTTGTACATATTCTGCTGCATGACTTTTGTCTTTAAAAGAAGCTATAAAAGAAACAATTTTGTTTTGTTTAGTGTAGCTCATACATGTGCCATGTGATGTTCAAGAAATAGCAGTGAAAAGAGACACACAATAAAAATCTTTTCGTCTTGCTCTCATCGGAGTAAATCACAAGAAAGAACATAAATGTGATGTTTATTAGTTTGGTAATTGCAAAAAAAGGATTACTGAAAATGATAAACCTCTTCCTACAGACTCGTTCTAAGTACATGTGTAAGAAGCTTTTCATGACAGACATGACAAAGCTCTTACAAAGAAAATAAGATCATCTTTATAAATTGGTTATTAAAAGAGAAATCCACCTTTCCAACATGTTCTTGGCAACAACGAAAAAGAATGATAATTTTTAAAGAAATTTACGCATGCACCCAGTAAATAAAGATTGCGTGCTCGATCTTGTGATTAATAACAAGTCAGAAAAAGTCTTGGAACCAGCAGGATTTGGACCTGTCATCTACTGCTTGCTGGGCAGCGACTCTACCATCAGGACATCACTGGTCCATAGCACAGTCACGATGAACTGGAAACAAATACCTCAGCTATCCTAATTCTGACTTATTGATATTCATTAGTCCACCATCACGACAATAGGGTTGGTATGAATGTAAGGCTTCCTGGGAGTAGTTTCAATTGGTAAAAAATCATAATAAAACAGAATGGGGAACAAAAAATGACACATGATTAGTACTACACATGATACATGTTTACAAACAGAATATTGATTTGTTATAACATTACATTGTAAATTGATTTACATGATATATATGTTTACAAACAGAATATTGATGTACATCGATGAAGTTGAATAATACAATACATGTACAAGAAGCAAATCCTTTTTTTTTAATTCAATAAATGTGCAAAATAAAAAAATAGAGGATCTCACATTTGATTGCACTGTTGTGTAGAGGACAGTGTTGCCAATTTGCGTATGGTTTAATGACTTCCAACCAATCTCAACTTTCTTCAATAGTTTTGTCAACTTTAAAGGTACTATGTCCCTTTTGCAGCCAACCTCAAATGCTGTAGAACTTTGCAGGAATTATGAATATGTCATGTATGTCCTATCTGTGAAATTTAAACGTTAGCAGTGTCCTCATATTCAAATTATGCAAGGAAACCCGTTTACTTGCTAGACTTCATTGTCAGACACTATTGAGTGACTGACTGGCTTTTTTCTTCTTTGGTAATAACATACATGAAAAGAGTTGTAAAGGGTACATGAGCATTGTCTACATCAGTAACCCACTTGTGATGGCCAAGATTAAACTGATTGAATCTTTGCGCAGCATAAAACGTATGACCATTCAGTACAATTGTCTGAAAATCAAGACTATTACTTTTGGGCTCTATAGCCCTAAAGTCGATTTGACAACTAATAGTCGTTATTTTTTTCCCACTTGAAGACATTTTCAAGCCCCACCTTTTTTAGGGAAGTTCTAAATTAGTATTATCTTTCAAATGCAGTTGGAATTTAACTTTTTCATTTTTTGACCTGCAAATGGGACATAGTACCTTTAAGACCAATTATTTTCACCATTCTTTTATCTACAGATCTGCCTTTTGAAACCTAAATAGGTGGGATGTAGTAACTACCGATCCTTTCTTGCAACTTATCCTCAAAATATCTTTTTTCAATTATCTCAATCCCTAATGGAAACAGATTTAATTTTTACATCCAGTGCCTTATTGTAAACTTAAATTGCAATTTTCTATGTGAGCTAAATCCATCAACTCATGCAATTTTCATGTGTATTTTTTCGTTTGGCAACAATAATAATACTGTTAGTCTGTGTATCTCCACTTGTACAGAGAAAATTACACTTTTTCAGCAAATTCAGGAACTATGAACAGTATTGCACTCTGTACATGTTATGCAATGTAACTTGTTTTTTTAAAAGGATAATTACACTTCTTTAATTCATGAAAATTGTAAATTTTGCTATGCACATGTACAGTTATTGTATCTGATTATGATTTGGGCTTGCAATTTAAGATATTGAGACCATTTTCAAAATATGATATGGGTTTTTATTTGTTATTTCTTTTCCAGGCATTTTCAATCGATACCGGTACTTTGGATTACATTCAATCTTAAAGATGTTTAAAAACTGTTGTGAGTATTTTGACCACTCTGTTTGAAAAAACATTTACAGAGAGATGACTAAGCTTATGTCAAACGGAATAACAGATGCCTAAAATGGGATAAGACTAAAACTATTTCACTATTTGTTATGCTTTGAGGTTCAAAGGCCTGCATAGGCTGCATTCTACTAAAAATATTAAACATGTAGGAATGTACAAGTCAGGTTTAATAATGTGACTGTTACTCTCAATTCAGAAAGGGTTTAAAACAAGCATTAGTTGATGATAATCACTAGATTCCTGTTACTTTCCTATATGTTTAAAAATTTGTATGAGAACCATGTACAATTCAATCTCTTCCCATTGTTCATTATTGACCCTAGTCTTCAAATTATGAATTCAAATAATGATATCAGATTTAAATACATGAAATTAGTTTTCCAATGTATATATTGCCTATAAGTTGAATTTTTTTCTGGCTAAATTCATACAATCCGCATTCTTAAGAGATGAATACTGCTCATGTATGGTCTTGTATATTCATTTTTGTTCATGTTTAAAGAATTTTCCTAAAAATGTTCAATGACAGAAATTGAAGGGTAAGAGTAGTTTTGACAAGCTTACATTTTTGTATTAAACTTTCACTAACTTTGATCTTTCTCTGAATTAAAGTGAGATTCTAACTTTTGTAAAGCATCATCATGTGCCTCATCAGTATTTTATCAGTATTTTGTAAAATAATGAATGAAAAGGAGATGAAAAATAGAGCATGTGTTTGCATGTTAAAGAGAGAGGGGGTATGGAGATAGGAAAAGACAGATCAGGAGAGAGAGGGGGGGGGGGGGGGGGGGGAACGTGAGAGAGAGAGAGAGTGCAAGAGAGGGGTGGGGTGAAAGGAGAGAGAGAGGGATGGTTTTAGAGAAATAGAGAGAGATTGGTGGGGTGAAAGGAGGGAGAGAGAGGGGGTATAGAGATAGAGAAAGAGAGATAAGGAGAGAGAGGGATGGTTTTAGAGAAATAGAGAGAGATTGGTGGGGTGAAAGGAGGGAGAGAGAAGGGGGTATAGAGATAGAGAAAGAGAGATAAGGAGAGAGAGAGGGATGGATTTAGAGAAATAGAGAGAGATTGGTGGGGTGAAAGGAGGGAGAGAGAAGGGGGTATAGAGATAGAGAAAGAGAGATAAGGAGAGAGAGGGATGGTTTTAGAGAAATAGAGAGAGATTGGTGGGGTGAAAGGAGGGAGAGAAGGGGGTATAGAGATAGAGAAAGAGAGATAAGGAGAGAGAGGGATGGTTTTAGAGAAATAGAGAGAGATTGGTGGGGTGAAAGGAGGGAGAGAGAAGGGGTATAGAGATAGAGAAAGAGAGATAAGGAGAGAGAGGGATGGTTTTTAGAGAGAATGAAAGGAGAGAGAGAAGATAGAGTGGAGAGATAAGGAGAGAGAGGGATGGTTTTAGAGATAGAGAGAGAGAGGGGTATAGAGATAGAGAAAGAGAGATAAGGAGAGAGAGGGATGGTTTTAGAGAAATAGAGAGAGAGAGATAGGTGGGGTGCAAGGAGGAAGAGAGAAGGGGGTATAGAGATAGAGAAAGAGAGATAAGGAGAGAGAGGGATGGTTTTAGAGAAATAGAGAGAGATTGGTGGGGTGAAAGGAGGGAGAGAGAAGGGGGTATAGAGATAGAGAAAGAGAGATAAGGAGAGAGAGGGATGGTTTTAGAGAAATAGAGAGAGAGAGATAGGTGGGGTGCAAGGAGGAAGAGAGAAGGGGGTATAGAGATAGAGAAAGAGAGATAAGGAGAGAGAGAGGGATGGTTTTAGAGAAATAGAGAGAGAGAGAGAGAGATAGGTTGGGTGAAAGGAGTGAGAGAAAGGGGGTATAGAGATAGAGAAAGAGAGATAAGGAGAGAGAGAGAAGGAACGTGCGAGGAAGAGGGGGTGGAGTGAGATGAGGAAGATAGAGGGGGTGGGGTGAAAGGAGAGAGAGACGGTAAAGTAGACGTGAAAGACCTCTGTCCACTTTATTTCACTTATCAATTCGTCCAACATTCACTGGTGTTCTAGTTCGATAAAATAATAAGGTCGAGATTAAAAGCGACCTCTGGGGTGATTGATGAGGCCACAAAAAGAGCCACTCTCGGTTTCTAAATATTGCCTAAACACTCAATCTAATGGAGTTTGCATTACATTATGCCTTGTGATTTCCAAGGCCGCACAATATGTCGGAGTAAATTTGCTAAAGAATATTTTATCGGACCATAAGCTTGTTTTATTGCTTCCCCAAGAATCCCCATTCACTTTACCAAAAAATCACCTCGCTGTGGCAAGTTTATATTTTTGAATAATATGTAACCGCCCAAATCCTTTCCAAAATTCAAAAACTTGATAAGGAAAAAGTTTAATCCGATTCACGAAATTTTGCCTCTAACATGAATGAAAAGGGTTGGGTTTTACTCAACTTAGTATTAAGAACGCTTTGCAATATTAAATCCGTTTACATTATGTGCAATAAATATTTATTCAATAGATAATTCAACATGTACAATATTTACGGTTCACAACTGTAGATAGTGATGATGACGATGGAATACAAATGTGTATTAGTTAGGTACTAGGGATGTCCATTCACATGAGATAAATATATAGCATGTATACATATTGTAAAGATCTATAGAAATCCATTTTTCAGGAAAAAAAATATTATATACATTCTGCAATGGGATTCTTGAAATCAATTGAGAGTGGTTATCTTGTATTTGACTTGATCTTAGATTTTTAACGGCTCATAATCATAAAGTCGGTGGAACGACTTTTAAAAAAATAAAGAGCATGCAATTTCAGGAGTTGCGTAAATTCGAATAACATGTACTCTCTTTTTTTTAAATAAGAAGTTAATCCGATTACAGACTATGTGCAATGAATATTTCATCAATGGATTATTCAACGTGTAAAATGTCTACGGTTTACGACCGAAAATTCGTATTAGTAAGGTACCAGGGATGTCCATAAACATGAGCATGAATATATAGCATGCATATATATTGTAAAGGCCTATATATCCACTTTTCAGGAAAATATATCATTCCCATTCTGCAATTAATAATAATAATAATAATAATAATACTCAGTTTTTATATAGCGGTTATTAGAATCACTAAGCGCTTCCAAACTTGGAGATTATTACGGCGGCTTTAGCTGTGCTGCCATTGCGGCGCTCTAGCATTTCAAAGAAATAATTCCTGCCAGGTACCCATTTACATCACCTGGGTTGAGTGTGGCAAATGTAGATCAATGTCTTGCCAAATGCATTGAATTCAATTGAGAGTTATTCTCTTTTCTTTGACTTGATCTTAGACTTTTAACGGCTCATAAAATCGGTAGAGCGACTTAAAAACAAAGAGCATGCAATTTCAGGAGTTCCGTACATTTGAATAAAATGTAATTTGTAAGTACTACAAAATTCTACAAATTTGATTTGAGCACATTATGGAGAATTTATGTTCACAAGGGTTACAATTTTTAGATTTTTAAATACATGTACATGAACATGATGAAACATTGATTTAAGTAATAGAAATCATAACAACGCTATGTACCAGTGCTTTTAATACATGTATTTATCCAGGTTTACTTATTATGTAACAAGGGGGAAAAAACCTATACTTTAATTGCACTCGTAGTACTTCAAACCTTTAAAAAGCGTTGAGCAAGTACTTGTGCAGACTTATGTATAACTGCAATAAGACAATGATAAATCCCATGTTAACATTGACGAATCTTACAACAATGACTCTAAACGGGGACATTGTCATGTTAAAGATTTAATCATGACAGAGGGCATTACAAACCTGCTATCTATGGCAACTTTATTGCATTTGAGGACAGGGAATCTGCAGAGACCTCTATCTTTTGTTCGAAAAGAGGACCGAGTCGTGACCGAGTTCCGATGCAGAGATCCTTGATAGCTTCCCGAAAATGTGGATTCATCATGATGTAGACCACGGGATTCATGCAGGAGTTGAAGAAAGCCAGGACGGTGAGGGCGCGATGCAGGGTGCTGTTGATATAGGTGAAAGGAATAAAGCCGATGGTCACCCCGAAGAAGGCTATTTGGTTGGGCGCCCAACAGATCACGTAGATGATGATCACTATGAGCATCATCTTGATGATTCGAGATCGAGCTGCGAGAAGACCAGTCGAACGCACCCCTTCGTCTTTGATGTCCGCGAAACGGTTAGATTCGTTAAAGAGATTCCGAGCGATCAGGGTCTGGGTGACCAACATGATCAAGATCGGAACTACGAGTCGCAGCACGAAGGTATAGGCGCCAAATGCAAGCTGAGCTTGGGGAGAATTGAAGTTGAGATTGCAGCTTCCAGTTGCATCATCGATGTTGAAGACGAATACACCTGGGAAACACATGGAAAAGGCTGCCAACCATGTCAACACGATACAGAAGGCCACACGCCCTCTGCTCACCAGACGGTTGAAGGCAAGCGGGTAGACGATGGCAAAGTAACGGTCTACGGAGACCGTCACCAGGGTGTAGGTTGAAGCCGTAATGGCGATCCACATAAGAAGCTGGGAATCTATGAATCGGCAATATATTTCACTCCAGAAAGTGTCAGGGGCGGTCTTGAGGTCGGGAATCGGTATAAGCAGAATGGACGTCAACATATCAGCCACGGCTAGGCTCTGGATCAGGATATCGGTGCTACGACTATGTGATCGACGCTGGAACATCACGATGACCACCAACAGGTTCCCGAGGATTCCGACGATCGCGACAACGAGCTGAACGACGAGTGACCATTGCCAATCGAGTGTTTGCCAAGACCATACAAGATCAGGAACATTCGACGTCGTTGTCTCAAAATCGGCCATAGTTTTCTCCTGAATGAAACGGAATGCTGCAATGTATTCTGTGACTGCTTATGGTTATTGCAATAATATTTTGCGATAGGCCCTAATGGTCTTTGGTGATTAAAACAATTAACAAGGGAGACTATGAAGACACCTGTCTTTGAGCTTCACGTATATTGCACTTTATTTACAGAGCTTGGATCTCCTCATGCAGCGCAAGAGTTGACCTGGTCAGTACGGTGGTTCTCCGAGTCTCATTTGTAGAGCTAGTTGTTTGGTTTCCTGTTGATTATACGACATGTCATGAGAGACAACAGTTTGAATATGAATCACGGCGACACCGAACTTTGATGTGTCGGTGATGGCAGTGTTTCTAGCTTAAAATTATTTATGCAACTTCAAAGGCTCCGTCGCATCCTGATACATCAAGCCGCTTCTATAGCAACCCTTATCTGCAAAGTGAAGCATAATGTAGATAGAACGAATTGTTATCACATGTCTTTCGTAATGTCATCAATGTCAATATATAATTCAAAGAAAGAAAATCATCTTTGTTACTCGGAGGCTGGAATTACGTTCAATACCCAATTCTGACTACCTGCAAAATATAATCAAACAACAAAAGCAAATGTTTCAGAAAAAAAATCTATGTACTAGTAAGACGTGTTTTCTGAATGCGGGGTCGCTATATGTCATGGAATTATTTGTTCAGTAACAATAGCTTTATTACATTATTCTTGATTATGCTCGGTCCTGGTGTAGAAAAAAAGCAGGATGTCAAAAAGTGTCGCCGTAAAGATTTTTCTTTTTGCTAACGCGGTTTTAGCCGCCCGGATTCGTCTCTTGATGGCTCACGTGATGGATAGCAGAGTCGTCTGTCTAATGGCAAATCGTCATCTTTTTATATCCCATCGTCTGGTTTGAGGTATCTCTTTCGTCACTATACTGATAAAAGACATTGTCATTGAAAGGTTAATAGACAATGACGTAGCCAGGAGAGGGGAAGTAGGGCCCTAATGGTGAAAGAAAAGGGTCAAAGGAAGAAACTAGAGAAAGAGGGGGGGGGGGGGGATAAATAAAATTGGAGGCAAAGATGATACGAATTCCTTCCACACTCTTATCTTATCCTATTTCCACACTATACTCAAGTTTATTCTCTTGTATTTCAACCATAATATCAAGCTCATTCCTCCACCCCTATCCACAGACACAAAAGGTCCATCCCCTTCAATGGCTGCACCCACGCTATACTACTATTGAGAATAGTGAAGTATGGAATGGTATGATATGAAAAGACAACCCCAAGTCTTTAAAGATGGACATGATCAGAATTTTGAAAAACTGGAAGCATTGTACATGAATTAAGAAAGGGAATCGCGAACAGACGTTCATGTAGAAGCATAATTCAATATATTCGTTATCACCAATGTGAGGATGTATTCATGTTCGCAGCTTATATTGAGTGTTATATATCTCTCATAGTATGTTGAATAAATCTAGTAATCTGATAGCTCGAAATTGGAGTCGTGATTTTAGCCATGTCCGCCTACCGGTCAATATTTTTTTTTAAGTTGCCCGTTGCCCCGCGTAACGAGCCGCATAAATAATTTTTGCTGAGATCCTCATTAGTTTACGTGTAACAAGTTTCTTTGTGCCAGCGCGGATACAAAATACGGTGCAGTTTTTTGTTTGGATTCCCGAATGATCGTAACATTCAGGCAACTTTCAAGCGAAGATTTACAGACATTGTCTCAAATTTTGTGTGATGTTTTTACCAGTCTTTACTCAAGAAAAGGATAAGTAAGAATTCTTTGTAGATTTGTTTATAAATTCGGTATATAAAAGATATATGGACTGCTTTGATATTCGAGGCATAGCTGTTTCTATAATGCCTCCCGGGGACACCCCGGAGCGCCTCTGGGTCATTATAGCAGGATGTAACGTCCCCTTGAGCCTACAGAAACAGCGATGCCTCTCATAGCAGTCAATATTCTATACAATTCTATTTCCCTTAATATTTTAATATTATGCAGACGCCTCGCCACCCCTGTCATCATTAGGGATTTACGGAACTTAATCATTAGAATCTGCTTTGCTGTCTATTTATCATAGAGACGAGGCGATTAAGGTTGCGAACGCAATGTATGAGTTTCGAACCAAAAGTCCCGGGTTCCAGGACCTCTACATTAACCACCGTTCTATTTTGTCTACTGTATTGTACTCGGATGGAAATGGTGAAGGAATTTTTAAATTTTCTAGTTTTATCATGACGCTTTCAAACATAAACTTATAACAAATTTCATTTCAATGTTTAATTTTTCGAGTAAAATCATCTTCATCAGTATGTATCAATTATTCTCCTTATATATTTGGTCTCTGAGCATAGGCGTAGCCAAGGTTGCAAGAAAAGTGCCCACAAAATGTCAATAGTAGTCAGTATTTTTTTTTTAAACTATTTTTTTTTGATCACGTCTCGGCATAAATGCTTTTTATACACGATCCAAAGTTTTTCCGAAAAGTTTATCTCACTATAACCTTGTGTGTAACTTTCTGAAAGATACAAACGGAGCAATTACGTAATCCAAACTCGTGGCAGTACAACTCTCAAGGCAATATCATAAATTGATTGATTTTTTGAAAAATCCTTGGGATCGTCTTTTTAATGGAAATAACCGAACGTGATGTTGATGGCATCTCTCCTTGTTAGTCAAAGCTAACCCTTTTCGAGGTATCCATTAACCTCTAATAAAAAATGCATGCTGCTCAAGGATTATTTTGTTAAGTTGTCTTCTTACTATCAGAAAGCTGAGATTTGAAAAAGATTAAGAGAAAAAGAACTTTGTTTTTAAGTCAAGGTCTGATTTGGAACCACTTTAAAGGTAATACAAAGTTTTGGTATGCGGTCATGAATTGGGTTCAAATGAACATATTGTAAGCATATGCGATCTTACAATATTCAGTGAAATCGAGTCTAAAGTTATGAAATTGTGAATAATAAACTCTTTATGTTGTTAAGCTTCCTCCCAAGGTCAAGATATTAATTAGGCTTTAAAACAATGTTTCGTGACTAAAATCGACCGATTAGCTATTCCCATTTGGAAATTATAAATCACAACTACATATTCTAAGATTTTCATGGTCGCAGCTACCATTGTACTGCCGTAGACGCTATTTTAAATTTGTATTTTCAAGTTTTCTCAAAAGCAGAAGTTTTTTAGGGGCAACATTTTCTAGTGCTTACAATACATCCACATGGGCATCCAAATATATCAAAATTGTAAAGAATCACCATCCATCCAATTTTCAAAATTTCCCCAAACTTTGTATTACCTTTAAGAGGGGGCAGATGGGAACAGAGAGGGGCAGAAATGGGATGGACAGAGGAGGGAGAGAGAGATAGAGAGAGAGAGGGGGGTAGAAAAGAGTAGAAGAGATAAGGGAAAGGGTAGAGAATGATTTATTTCGGAATCATTCTTTGAAGTTTCAAGTTTTGATAAATTATGGAGGTGAAGTTTTCAAATTTATTTTACACCAATATTTTACTATAGTATACTGATAATCCTGATAACTGATGTAATTGTGTGAAATAATTTGTCGGTACACAACCGAGTTTATGTTAGTTTTATATTTATAAATTTCAAAACGAATAATAAATGTACAATACCCGGCAGAAGAAAAAAAACAGGGAGAGGAATGCTGCGCGGGACAGGGTAAAAACCACTTTAGTTAAAAGGGATGACAAACGTGTATTTTGTTTGGTCTTCTTCCAGGTATATTGAAGGGGAAAAAAAAATCGTTAATGTGATCTTACACTATACGTAATATGCGATAAAGATTTTCACTAAAATGTTGAATCCAACCAAGTATATAACCTTTGATCTGTGATACTGTTACTATTGTAATGATAAGAAAATGCTTACCTTCTCCGCTAGACTGTCTAAAAGAAGAAAACTCCACCAGGATGAAATCGATGATTATTATCAACTCGTCTCACTGTCAACAAAGAGTGGATTGCGAAACTCTTCTCACCGGCAGAATATATACCCCACGTTGTTTCACTTCTACCCCTCGAGTTTCAATCTTCACTTCGGCCAAAATAATGCGTAACGTCGTCTTCTGAAACGCACGCATTTCGAAATTAATCCCGACGGAATGAAATAACAAAAAAACTGCATGATAGATGCTGATTTCGAGGTCATTAAAGAAGAAGCGATAGAAATGGGTTTTTCCATCTCCAAGGCTTTACAGTCAATCCCCGTGTGGTTTATTAAGCGACACGTTCCGGATGTATCGAGACTATCGCTACATTTCCATATCTAGTTTTTGGTTTATTTGAATATCACCATTAACCGCCATCACTTAACTGGTATTTCTTTCATTTTTTTTTTTTTTTTTTTTTTTTTTTTAGAAGGGGGGGGGGGGGGAGGGGCATTTTTTCTGCGTAGAATGAAATGATGTAGCGAATCTTTCCTCATACCCATATACTGTAATTTCATTTTTAAAATTAACTCTAATATAAGCATGATACGTGACAAAATATAGAGAACATCGTATGTGTGCCTTATTTTATACAGGAATTGGAGATTAATCTAATTCTGGTACTTTTGAGCGTGCGTTTCTGATATGATGTATCGAGGAAAATAATTTAGATAGCTCGTTCAAAGAAAGCTATTTAATCTATTCTGCCAAAGTTTCCCTTTCGTATAAAACCAATCACCATCACTCCACTTAGAATTTCGAGGGGTGAATAAATCAATTGAATTTTGAGGTATATGGACAACTTTTCAACCTTCTTTTTTTGTTATCCCTATATGGTAAACAAAATACGTCGGTGTGTCAGTTCTTTCATATAGCTACGAGTAAGTTGGATAGCCATTTTAAGCATTTTGAATAGACAGTGGAAATTTTAAACAGGTTTAGAGTTCGACAATTTAAAAAAAGGACAGCTATTTGAGGCAGAATGATAGGTAAAACAATAAATATCTACGAAAAATAAAAGTGCCTTGCAGTATAGTTTATACTGCTTCAAACCGCTTAGAGGCATTATGCAATTTGCGGCATAGATATATCTTATTATTATTAAGTAGTTTTGTATTGCTAGCTACAAAAATGATTTAGCTGCAAAATGAAACTTCCTTTCTATTCTTCTCAAATAAACCATCTCGATCATGGAGTTTGATGTGTCAAAAAATATATAAATTTCATCCAGATAAACAATATAAACTAAAAATGCTTGTTAAATTTGATTTGTCTATGCACCATCACAATATCAATACCGTGTGCGAACCCATTTTACGCTCATACCACCGAAACAAGCACTTAAAATCAACCACAATCTAGCCCCAAAACAATCTGCGAGTACAAACATTGACCATTTTGTTTGTTGCTCATCATTTCCTAATATATCATTGCTGTTTATTATTATATTATAGTGCCATGACTACTAAAATATTACTGTTACGGCTGATAACGTCGTCACGTGATTCACTCAAAAGGGCGTCTAGACTTTAAATGGTGGGGGGGGGGGGGGGTGTCCGAGTTTAATTTTGATCTAAAGTTTTAAAATCAGGTGCAGAGTTTAAACCAGTACCAATTGGAGTTAAAGTCTAGCATAAATTCTCAAAGAGAAAGACGGAGCACCACTTCTTTAAATATGATCATAAAACAATATTTCTAAATTACGATTTGAGACAGACATTTAGTTTATGGGCACATATCCTACAACCCCACCATACACCCCTCCCCCTTCGAGCCCTCTCTGTGCGCTCAATATACTTAACCTTTTGTTCGACTGAAGGATGTTTATATCTGAATTCCATTTGTGGGACTGAAGAATGAGAATCCATTTTAAATTAGGTCAATGGCGCACACGCTCCTGAAAAAGTTTTGAAAATAATTTTCTAGAAATTTGATTTATTTCAGTGACTGCAGGCTTCCAGTGTCAACACAATTATTTACACCATCTACGGGGAAATGGTAAATTATTGGCGATATATTGTTGAATGCAAAATTACTGAGTGGGAGAACGAGATTGAAACAGAGAGGTGGAGAAAGAGAAACGGAGAAAAACGAGAGAGAGAGAGAGAGAGAGAGAGAGAGAGAGAGAGAGAGGGAGAGAGAGAAGAAGAAGAAGAAGAAGAAGAAGAAGAAGAAGCGTGTGCCGAAATTATCATTTTGTTAGGGAGAGAGAAAAGGAGTCGGAACTGTTGTATTTTCAAAGAGTGTGATCGAATTTGTCGTAAAATTACCTATTTGTTAAAAAAAAGCAAGCACTAGAAGTTTCGCCCAATTGAACAAAAATAAAAAGTCTGAATGCATTCAATAAACAGTTCAATGACTATTTTGATGATGACAACAGTACGCAGCTGTTATTAGAAGTATTGCTCTGTTTTCTTCCAGGGGCACGTTTCATAAAATGGATTCAGATGCAATCGGCGATATAGCCTTCACAGACAATTCTCATGTGAGGACATCCTTTGTTTCAAAAGTATGGGTGCCATTAAATCCATATCATATCAGTCACGGTACCAATTGCATACAAAAATACATAGCTGAAATGAGGCCCAGTGACGACCAATAGTGAGCAGGCGCGTACGCAGGGGGTGGTTTTGGGGTTAACCCCCCCCCCCCCCCTCGAGTTTTTTTTTATGTGTATGTTTTTTGTATGTTATTTTGGAAAACCCTCCCCTTTTTAATTTTTTTTAATTTAAAAAAAAAAAAAAAAAAAAATAAAAAATAATAATAATAATAACCAAAAAAATTGCCAATAGGTGACCTTAAAAAGGTGATCTTACCCTCCCCCCCCCCCCCAACTGGACAAAATGTCAAATTTTCAAATTTCGAGACCCCCCTACCCCCCCCCCCCCCCCCCCCCCGCTTATTCAGCGGCTGGCTGAGTCGTTGCGATTTTTTGGGGACTCGTAAAAAAAAAAAGAGTACGCTTACCCCCCCCCCCCCCCCCTCCCCCCCCCCCTGCTTATTCAGCGGCTGGCAAAGTCGTTGCGAAATTTTGGGCCCGATTTGAAACCCTCCCCTTGAAAAAATCCTGCGTACGCCACTGATAGTGAGTGTCAGTGATGGAGCTCCCGGGGTCGAAGGTCATGCCCCCACCCCTTCGTTACTGCAAAACAAGGTTAAAATTTCTATAGGATATACAATAAGGTATTAAAGTTGCCGAAAGGTTGATTTTTTGTGTCCCATGTGACTTTTTAATTGCCGAACCAAGCGAAAACCGTCCACATGCAAATTACACACAAGGGATCGTTTAATTGCCTCTTATATTAAGACGGCGACAGAAACTGGTGCGGTCTTCGAACAATCGATTTTTATAAAGGATTCACCCCTATTAATTAGATACTCATCAAATCAAACCAAACGCTGTACTACGCCCACATAAATATATTGCATTGTTTTGTAGCTATTTCCATCTCTCTGTCTTCAAACCTCTCGTCTGCAAACTTGTATTTTTCTTGCAATGAGCGATAAATGCCTATTAACTACGTTGTGATATAACAATAATACGTTATATAAAGTAGAGACAACATATAAATGATAATATTGTAGTGTATTGATCCTTTTCTTTGACAACAAAGTTTTAAAGTAAATGTATGGTCAGTATGGATTTCTTTTTCTTTTTAAAACCTTTTAACATTGTTCTTACGTGGGCAATTAGCAACTATATTTCACCTGCGTTATACATGTTTATCTAACAATTGTTATAAAACGTTGTTGATATGACGTTTTGGAGAATATTTTGTTTTCTATTTGAAATAATCCTATCGCACTTTCCTTCTACAAAAAAAAACTATCAGGATGATGTATTTCTTATACATTTCTTTGTTTTCCTATCTTCAACTTAAGTCATTATCTTTTAGTGTTTGCCTTAGCGGTGTCCAACTTTATTTTGTTCGTGATGTAACAATGTATTTTTTATTTTTATAAGGCGAGATTGATTATAAAAGAATCTTAGTACTTTCTTTCTCTTTGAATTGCTATTCATAAAAAGATAAATGCGGTATTTGTGTAATGCATTTTCTGCATCACGAAGCAGCAAATTAAAGGCAATTATAGTTTGTTTGTCTGTCTCTACTCTATTCTTGAAATGTTAACAATGTGCGGTCATTTCAGAGGCGAAACCAGGAGGGGAACATAATTCTGAAGAAGAAAAAATATGATGAGCAAAAAAAGAAATATGGTAAGAAACGGGAAAGTGAACAAGAGCACTATTTTAAAATGTCATCTCAGTGAGAATCTTCTTCCTCTTCATCATCATCTACTTTTACTTCTTCTTCTTCTCATTTTCTTTTATTTCTTTCTTATTATTATCATTATACCCCATTGGCAAATTTGCTCCTTCTCCCCCCCCCTTTCTTTCTCTCTCTCTCTCTCTCTCTCTATCTTCCTCTCAATCTCTCTCCCTCTCTCTCTCCCTCTCTCCATCTCTCTCTCTCTCTCTCTCTCTCTCTCTCTTAATACATCTTACTTTCTCTTTTGGTCTCATTCAGGTTCGAATATTACATGTACATTCGTAAGTCATTGATAAGCCATGAACCCTCTATAATTATCTCTATCTTTATCCACATTTCTGATTTCTCAACTTCATGTACGTCATATGGCTCCGTTTAGTCTCATTTCACAACGCCCCTATCATCAGAGCATGATCAGAGTCAGCAGCCTAACATGTTAGCCTATGGACGTTTTTTTTTTAAATCGTTAAAAATTCATTTTTTGTTTAAACGAAAAGCACATCCACCCCGACGTACGTTATCACTAGCTCTTTCATTGGGGCCCTCATGTCTCATTGACTTTTGAAAGTTCACCCACCGTAATTTTTCAAAATAAGTTGCAAGCTCGTCATTGCCTATAATACACATGTGAAACAAGTCTAACTTTGGATTCAGTTTACCAAGCGATTTGAAGATTATAGGTCGAGCACACGAGACATAAAAAGCATGAATTATCATAGATCACTTCTGCCTATTTCATGATGTCCATTTCATCCAACCCCACACCGTAATTTTTCCATT